GACCCGCCGGTACAGTCCATTTTGTCATCCGGGGTCGCTCGGACGACGTTGTCGACAATTGGGTCAAAAACGTGTCGAAATTCAAATTTCACAAAATTTCGACCCGCGATCGATCGTCTCAAAAGGTTTACTCGAGCCCTCGATGAATAACAGTGCAAGCGATGCGACTCGTGGCGATCGGACGCGTGAATTGCGAAGTTTATGCGTGTGAGAGTGCGAATTGTGCAGAAGGTCACCCTAAGGCTCAAAAGGTCCTATAGGAATCCCTTTTGGGTTCCTCATGTTGGTTTCATCCTTTTAAGTGTTAGAAGTCGATATCACACACGCGAAACCACAAAAGAGTACAGAAACGGGTTGAATTTTTTTTTAAAATAAGGCGGGGCCCATTTCTAAGGTTCTAAGATAGTCGAAGGGAGAAAGGTGTCTTTCACTCTTAAGAAGTTAGGGATGGTTGGAACTTGAGGGTGTTAAGGATTGCAGGATCAATCCCATGCATGATATGTGTCCACTTTAGAGCAGCAAGTTGATGTTTTCACAAAACCACTTAACTCTTCTCAATTCTTGATACTACTCAGCAAGTTATGAATTATTAACATACATTACGAACTTGAGGGTGTTAAGGATTGCAGGATCAATCCCATGCATGATATCCGGAAGTAATTAAATACAAAATCAACCATATGCATAAAATATTGTAATTATAGGAAAGAAATCAATAGCACTAATTGCCATGATACGGTGTAAATAGTCTTGATTGCATAGACATAATTTTAGGCATAATTTTGCTCTTATTTTACTCCTCTTTCCTATTCTAAACATTAAACTTCTTGTATAAATATCAGCTTTCTTTATACAATGAAAAACACGAGATTCATACATTATTTTCTAACAGTGTATGTGTGTGTGTGTGTGTGTGTGTGAAGTGGGAGTAATAGACATGTGTTCCATTACGATGACAATATAATGAATGCAAGCGTGATTATATAGGTTTTATTATTATTATTATTATTTTTCTACTTATTGGCCACATATGTTGTGATTTGTTGGTGCTTGGACTAAACGAGTTCATTTTATGTTTAATGCCTGGTCATTGCAAAGAGCGCTGTTTTCATAATGTTTCCATACTTTGAAACCACAACCTTCATACCACAGTTGAGACAACTTAATCAAAACTTTACGCATGCCCTCTTTTGTGAAGGCAAATAAAAAAAGAACAAAAAAAAAAAAGATCAAAGTTTTATTGATGACATAGGGTAGGAATAAAATGAATCAAAGTGAAGGAAAAGGCCTTTTAGATTGATAAAAAATTGTTACCTGAGGGAGATATGGTACTTCTCAATATGGCAAGCATGGTCGTTGCCATCGTGAATCATAACACTAAAATGATAATAAAAAACAATAAATTTGCAACAGTTACCACTATATTTTTTTTCTGAGCAACTCTATAGGCTTGTAGTCTCTAAAATTCAATTCTCGATGAAATCTTGTGGGTTTATTCAATTTCAAGGAGTTTGGAGCTTTGTCAGAGCTTCTGACAACATTTACTGATTTGGTTTTCTTTCATTTAAGGACATTCTGGTGTCGTGTTGGAAGTATTTTTATTTGTAATTTAAAGATGTCATGTCAGAGGTAATATTGAAAATTTTATGCTTTTTATGGCATGGATGACAAATCAAATCCATGTTTTTCTATCTCGCAGGATATACTAGAATCCATTGGAGAATTTGTTGACGGTTTGAAATTTTCTGGTGGCTCACACAGTTTACTGCCCAAAACTTATGTCAAAGAAATTACAGACCTGGCACATAGGCATGGTGTTTACGTTAGTACAGGTGATTGGGCAGAACATCTGCTAAGGAAAGGGCCTGCATCATTCAAACAATATGTGGAGGTTTCTTTGATCTATATTTCACAACATTGGGAAATCTATTACACCTTTTCAGTTTGATAAGGAAATCACTTTTGCGTAATTGAATATTTTCAGGAATGTAAGAACTTGGGATTTGACACAATTGAACTTAATGCTGCTTCGCTTAAGATCCCAGAAGAGTCTCTCTTGAGGTTCGTTCGCCTCATAAAGAATGGTGGCCTTAAAGCCAAGCCACAGTTTTCAGTGAAGTTTGAAGGATCTGATATTCCGACTGCTGGGAATAGGGCCTTTGGAGCTTATGTTGCTCCAGTCCAAAGAAATTACGGTAAAATAGTCCGCTTCAATCTATCGGTATAGTTATTTACATGTTGACATGTGCCTTATAGCTATTATGTCCATGCTTGAGTATTTTATAGTAAATGTTGTTATCAATTTATAGCATTATAAGGTTATAAAAACCTACTATATTTTAAATTATCACTATTCTCGATTTTCCTTTCCCTAGTGCATGTTTATTGGCTGTACCATATTTAAACTAGTAGTGAAAAGGGGAAACGTGTAACGTAACCTTCAATTTTGTGACTGTTACAGATCATAGTAACAGTACACTGCTGATAACCTATGTTAACATATAAATAAATAGAATTTAATATATTGTAGTATCTTTAAATAATAAAAATATTTATTATATTTTATATGTGCCTGTATTGCATGTCAGAAGAAATTTTGTTAAGTCATGATTTGGAGAATTTTATGTCCGTCTTAGTTTATCAACCATATAGTTAAATGAGTGGTTGTTTTTTTTTAATAGAAAATCTGGGAGTGAAACTTAATAGGGAGGGCCCGGATGGTTGACAAAAGCTATAGAAGTCTCTTATTTGATGATATGAGTAGTTTAATATTGGTAATAAATTGAAGCTTGTATCAGTGGATTGGAAAGAATAATTGTGATAAAATTTGTCCATTCCTAATAGTAGTTTATTAAATTTTGCTTTTACGTTTTTATTAAATTCTCTAATGACGTGATACGCTAGGCACTTCTTCATTTTGACTATTTAACTTTAACCAATTAAGTATAACGAATAGTTTTGAATGTTATAATTTACAAAATTTAGACGACAATTAATTGCATATTAAACTGAATTATTTGTGCGTGTTCTAGCATGTCATTATTATTAGGGTCTGTTTGTTTTGAAGGAATTGAAGGAATGGCAAGTACATTTTACATTATAGTTTCATATTGAGTGTTTGTTCTAATGCAATAAATAGGTACTTGGATTTGTTTAGGAAATATGAACAAATGTTCTTTTCTGCCGATAAGTTTCTACCAAACTTTAATGGAAAATAGAACCAGTGTATGTCCATGTATATATATATATATATATTAGCTGTTATTAAAAATATTAAAAATATCAAAAAGTTATTTTACATGTTTTAAAATAAAAGTCAGTTTATTTTTTAAAATAAGAAATAAAAATATATGAAAAATACATTAAATAAATATGTTTTTAAAAATAAAACTGGAATTAAAATAAAAATAAAAAGCAAAAATGATCCCAAGCAGACCCTTCATTAATCATTTGACCAAATAAGTAAAGAATATCTGCTCAACCAAACAAGTATTTTAAAAATAATTTCTATTCAACTTAACCATTTCAATTTCCTTGATTTACCCTCACATTCTTTCAATTCCTTCAAACCTAGCAGAGCCTTATGATTTGACAAGTAGGAGCAAATATGGTGTACATGTACCGTACGTTTATCACTAATCCGCACCTTTCTCATCCACACCAAACATTTTTCTCCATAAGTCGACATGACTATCACATTTATCCTCTTCGTGGCATTAAGCAGAAGTCTGGCTGTGAAAACATTTGGGCAAGATTTCCTGCAACGAAGCTTTTTGATTTCAAAATACTACAAATCAGTGCTCTAATACTTGCCTCTCTTCCAGAAATTGTAGAAGACGTGGATTTACTGATCAGAAGGGCTGAGAGATGTTTAGAAGCTGGGGCTGATATGATCATGATCGATGCTGATGATGTTTGCAAATATGCTGAAGATTTACGCACAGACATGATTGCAAAAATTGTCGCACGTCTGGGCCTGGAGAAGACGATGTTCGAAGCATCCAACGCAAAGACATCCGAGTGGTTTGTAAAACGATATGGGCCAAAGGTGATTTGTTTTGGTCTTTCTGCCTTCTGTTGCTATAATTTTACTCACCATCAATTCTATTCTGCACTTATGTTTGTCTTTAAGGGCATTCACATACAAACCACACAATTTTTATCTACTACTTACATATCTAACGCTTAAAATCTTGTGCTTACATGCAAAGCACTCAATCTTTAGGTGGTGTTTGGTAGTTCCTTTTAATGGTGGTGTTTGACTGCAACTTAGATTTGCGTCAAGTAGTATTTATCAAATCCGATAAATTCATATTTACTATGTTGGCGGAAATTGTGAGCAACGACGGAATAAATTTGTCTCACAATTAGAGTTAATAAATCCGGATTTATGTCAAGAAAGATTAAGAACGCAAGCAAAAATATAAAGAATGCTAGAAAACTTGATTTAATAGAGCGTTGGATTTAATGTTGAGCTTTTTAGTGTTCGGCTGGATTTAAACTAAATCCTTCACTAAATACTATTAATAGTATGCTACCAAATACCACCAATAGATTTATTAAATCCATCCAAATGCTAAAATACACGAACGAGTTCCATGGATTTCTGAATTTTCAGATTTATGTCCCTAATTCTGCCCTCGATTTGGCTTAAATCCGGATTTACTAAATACAAGGTAGATCTTATGAATTTAAGATTTATGGATTTACTAAATCCTACTAACATTAATTCTACCAGCCGAACACCCCATTCAATATTACATCAAAATATATCATTGCTTCCTTTTCTTTTTTTTTAAGTGAGATGCAACTTTTCATTGACACCAATGTGTCATAAATGTAAATATCAAACTTTTAAGTGTTTGATGTGTAAATGCATAAGAATTGTGGGGTTTGCATGTAAATTTCCCTTGTCTTATGTAGTAATCTGTTAATTTTCTTTTTAAATGCCCTTTCCAGGTGAATATTTTTACCGATCATTCTGAGGTGATGAAGTTGGAATGTCTCCGCGGAGGTAATCTGGGCAGAAACCATGCGTCTGTGCTTGGGCTCGACTCTTCATTTTATTTCTTCAGATGAGTTTTTTTTTTATTTTGCGGCGCTGCATTGCAGTAATGTGTGATTTGATGCGTCTGTTTAGTTTGGTGAAGTCATGAATAACTTGAATAACTTTGTGGTGTCGCGTTTCATTTCCATGGTAAAAGTGATTTTGGTTTTACTCAATTGGAAAGGAATTTGCCTGATTACTCTTATCGATTAAGGTTTTTGAGTTTGATTTGATGGTTTGGATTTGAGTAGCAAATACGTTGATTTGGATTTAGAAGACTATGTGTTTGTTTGTGACTTGAGAGTTCAAGAGTCGCGGAAGGAAGGGAAGGGACTGCAAAAGAAAAGTTTTCTTTGATAAATAATAGTTTATGACCCCACCTTTTTAAATATTACAGTGGAGTTCACTTGTCACGTGGCAAGTTGCCATTGAGAAAATTCACTGATATTATTGCAGGACATGTTCCATTCAACTGCTAATAAAACTGAAAATTTTTCTCAGTTGGAGATAGTTCTATTAGCAGTTGAATGGAACATGTCCTGCAAATAGAGTTTCATAACCAAATTTAATAAATAATAATTATTTATTAAAGTATAAACTGTAAGAAAAATAAGGTATGAGTATTGAAACATGCAGTTTAATCAATTTTAATTTAATTTATATTTCTATAATCGGTTCTAACAAGTACCATGAAGCTGAAAATGTTCATACTAGCCGAAGAAATCTGATGATTTCCTGCGAAGTCATTATTTTGCGGGCATGTCGATACTATTTGCTAATATCCAAAAGGGTTCCGTCGACCCGCACACCATTACACAAAAGTATATCATATTTTTATACAGGAATAATACATAAGAAATATATTACTTCGCACAGACTTATGATATAACATGAATTTACATGTATTTTTATAAAGGTAAAGTACTGTAAAAAATATTATAATTCTAGTATTTAATTAAATATGCAAGAAATTTTGCAGTTATAGAATAATATATTTAATTATTTCATTATGAGCAATAATTGAAATCCATCACAAGCATAAATTAAGAAAACTGAAGTAACAAAGGCATGACTGACAATCTTATAAAATAATTAGAAATCTATTACAAATAAAAATGATTAACACCACTAACAAGAAAAGTGTACAATATCACCTGATAAAAAGCAAATACTTGTCTCGAGGAAGTAGTAACGATAATTCTATGTATTCATTGGTTCAAATAACAATCTTGCTAAATGTAGAATTCTTAATTGTTACAAATTATGCAATTAGATATATTAAACATAATTATGTAGTTTGTTATGAGAGTAGGGAGTTCATGATGTAGTCATTCTATGACCTGGCCCATGCTATACTTTGATAGAACAGAGAGACGATGCAACAGAACGAATCAGGAAGGCAACATTAATGAATCACAAGAAAAGGAAAGAGATCAGGCCATCCATAATTTAGTTTGTTATGAGACTGGAAGATAGAGTGCGGGAAGGAGAAAAATGAACAAAATATTCTGAATCGAGAAGGCAACACATACAAGATCATGTGATAGCCGGAGGAAGGGGAAAAAAATGCATATACATGTTACCCCTGAATAGGATTTGGTTTCCAAATTCGTACAATAGTTTTAGAATAGCCGTGGGTACTTCGTGATCATCTATTTTTTTATCTTCCAATTTGCTTTTTGCCCTGATCGGTTCTTTCGAAGTAATCTGACAAAAGGAATTGATTGGCAGCGAAGTTGTTGAATTTTACACTCCAAAATGAGATCTGATAAGATTTTTGGAATCATCCGTGGCTCATATCGAATGATATGGGAGTCGTCATGCACATAACCTTTTGAAGTTTTTGCATCCTTCTTGTTGAAATGTAATGATCTAAAATTTACTTATAAATGTTTCAAATTAAAAAGTGCATCTTGATTTATGCTTGATTTTATTGATTTTGAGATGAGCTATCAAAAAATTGACTGGTTAAATTAATAATGGGTAGAGTTAAAGTTTAATTATGGCCATTCAATCAACTAATGATTGGTTGATTAAATTAATTGGTATGACATTCATTTGTTTATGATCATAAATAATAAAATTTAAAGCTCGTTAATAGGCTCATTAACAACTTGCTTGCGATTTGATAATAAGCTTTTTCAAGACTGTAATGTTTGTCATGGGTTCGATCCCACCTGACGGCCTGAGTGCATCTTTCTTGCGGTGAGGGATTGATTGGTTAACATGAGGGTGGTTGGGGGCTCGTATCAAAGCCTCCGACCATTCTTTTGAAAAAAAAAAATATATAGAAACTACTTGCTTGTCATTGATAATAGCTTTAAAAAAAAGGATTAATGGCAAACTATTAATAGTTTAAAAAGGAATACATTCATTACCGGATAGATGACTGATTAAGACATAATTGTAGTTTTATATATAACAAGACAAAATTCTAGTGATAAATCATATTTATGTAATTAGTTTAGATTTAAGAAAATTATTTAAATTGAATAGATTAGTCAAGATGTTTTAAGAATGATGTGTAAAATTGAGATTAATTCAAATCATAGGACATTTTTGTAAATCTATTTTTCAAATACAGAAGAGACATGAAGTGAGATTGAAATAAATTATGGCGAAATAAAAAAAAAAAATCAAATCCATTATTTGTTTGAGTGCACCAGCCGGGAATCGAACCCGGGTCTGTACCGTGGCAGGGTACTATTCTACCACTAGACCACTGGTGCTGATTAAGCATTTTTCAAAAACTTATATTAATAAACAATGTTTGATTTTTATCACCGTTTTATGACGTTTTATTTCTTTAGAAAAACTACCATCATTATTCTATTTAGTCATAACCTTTTCACTTTTTTTTATTAATTTAGATAAATAAAAATACATCATTTTTTTGTTATGATTTATGCATGTAGGATGAGAAACCACGGAGGTAATGAATATCATGGAGGGGGAGGAGTGTTGCTAATACCACCTACAAGCTCAGGTTTTTCGGTAGAACATTAAGCTTGGTACGTAGCTCATGGGATTTTTTGTTTTGGTAAGGTGTTTGTAAGAATGTCGGCTGGTTGACCCTGGTGAGGATGTACTCAATCTTAATATGCTTGGCGTTGATATGATCCTAGATAAAATGGTAATCAACTTTTATGTGTTTCATCCGGGCGTGAAAGACATGGTTGTTAGCTAGTGACATTGCAGAAATATTGGCGCAATGGAGTGGAAAATTGATCCCAAATTCTTAAATGAAATAACGAAGCCTTATGACATCGGTAGTTGCAGTTGCCAACACTAGGCATTCCGCTTTCGTGGATGAACTTGCAACTGCTGATTGTTTCTTGACAATCCATGAAATGAGAGCTTCACCGAGGAATGAGCATGCTCTGACGGTGGGTTTTCATTCCACTTGATCACCTGCCCAATCTGCATCCGCATAGGAGCGAAGAAAAAGATTTTTGAGTTGGATGTGCAAGCCGAAATGTCTGGTGCCTTTCGAGCATCTAAGAAGATGAGTTAGTTGTTTGTAATGGGTTATAATTGGCATGTATTAACATAATCAATTTACAATATATAACATGTCTGTTTGAGTGACCGTAAGATACCGAGGTGAACCTGTCAATTGTTGGTAGAGAGTTGGATTGTGAAAAAGAGTACTCGGTGTGGAGGTAGGCGACGATCTCACTTGTATGGGAGTGTTGATTGGAGTTCAGTCCTGCATTCCAATTGTATCTAGAAGTTGAAAAATGTACTTCTGTTGGCTAAGAATGTAAGAGTTGGCTGATTTTTAAACCGCAATGCCCACGAAAAATCCAATCAAGCCTAAATGTTTTAGTTCGAAGTGGGCAGCCATGTTGTCGGTCATCTTGGATATGGTCGGGGTTGTCAACGAGTGGTGGTTGCTGATGGTCAGTGGTTGCAGAAGCGGGTAACATTCTCCGGAACTTCTGTGTGGAACATTGAACCTCAACTCCAAGTCTATAAATGATAAAAATTTGTTTCACACCTCAAAATCTATAAATGATAAAAATTTATTGACGACATATCAAGAAATTATATTATTGAATTTTCTTTCTTCATTTGAAGTTTGAACAACTTTTTTCTACAACTGCAACGCTTTATGGAGATTGCTACACAATAAATAATAGATTTTTTTAGAAAAAATACCATTTTTTAAATGTTCTTACACTTTCAAATGAATATTTACACTAAGAAGAACAACAATTAAAAAGTATAATAATTATAATAAATTCTTGAAATCAATAATTTGAAAAGTAGCAAATTCAAAAAGGCAATTATTTACAAATTTTTGAAGGGAAATTTAAATACAAAACACGTAATTCTTATATATTTATATATATCTAGCACCTAAATTTTGAGGTTTATAAGTATATATTTAGTGCCATTACCTATACATCAGAAGACATATTTCACTTCTTAGAAATTAAAATAGTGATATTTTCGATATGACATTAAAGATTTGAGTATTATGTCTGTAATTAAAAAAATTATATGTTAAACATCTACATGCCCCAATTTTTCATCATCATTCATCAATGAGAATCTAATATTTATGGTAAGAATAAGACATTTGAAATTAATTTAAAACAAATAAAATTTAGTAATTAAAAATTCGTCAATCATATATTCTCTTTATCTCAAGATAAATGTTTCCCTAAAAAATCCATAATAATTAATGCACTTGAATCAGGATTTCTTCACCTATATTTTCTCTTGTTCTTAAAATACATTTTTATTCAAACAAATTCGTACTCTCTCTTTTATGGGAACACGTAATTGGAAAAATTAGATACAATGAGAATCTAAGCCTTCAAAATAATAATAATAATAATAAAGATTAAGCAAAGATTACATTGGAAAGTTAACGAAGACTTGATATATACGAGTCTTCATCTACCATTTATGTGCCTAACAATTTGAGTGCCACCTCCTTAAGGCTAACTATGCCAGAGGAGATTCGAACCCTCAACCTGAGGTGTCTTATACAGTAGATGCAACCAATATGTATCAGCATGAATGTTAATGCAATATTAAAACAAATATGAGGTGAAGTTAATTCTACGTTCAATGTAGAGGAAGACGTGAGATGGTGAGGACGGAAGAAGCTCAAAGTTCAAACTAAACAGCAATTCCAATCCCGTATCTCAACAACTGGTCCTTGCGTGTTGGGTAGCTTTCCAAGGCGGA